TTTGCAATCGACAAGACACTGTCAGACAGTCTATAAACACAAAATTGGAACGGCTGATCGTAATTTTGATACCTACGTATAGTTATATACCTAGGTACCTATACCTGAGACGGAGACATCAAATTCGGGTGAGACGTTCTATCATCGGAGAATTGTTTTCAAAAGATACGAAAGAGATCAACAGTGCATAAATGCATTTATTTACCAACCACTTAGGTACCTTATACAATCTACAGAGTTTACATTTAATTCGCGGGAAAGCTGTTTAACATTTAAGTGCTGAATTATACGAGTAGGTACAGTCAGTAATTTATGTAAAAAAAAAAACCATTTCTTACACCCTTTTACCAGTTCTCCCGTGTCTTAACGGCCAAGTGTTTTACTGCAGCCGTGTGCAGAAAAAAATACAATGAAGAAGATAAATGTCAATATAAAATACAATACCGAGGAAAAAATCTAGCATCTAAAGTAACTTTATAAAATATAATAAACTATAATTATTATCAAACACGTGGGCGATATTTTTAATTCTGTTATTACCTATATTTAAACAGGGCGAATCGCATTTATTGAACTTCTTATTTCAGAATTTTTAAATCTCAAAAGAACATATTTTCAAATATTTAGATTTTTATGATGGAGTATACTGTGGCAATTCCTTTATTTTTTCAAATGAGAATCAAACTCATTTTCAATTTAAATAATTTTTAAGTAGATTATTTTTTTTGGAAAATTTAGTTGTTATGTACCCATAAAATGTCTTCATTATATTACACGTAAGACAGACGTATTCAAAAATATTAATACTTTTCGAGGACTTGAACGTTTATTAAAATATCCACCCTGTATACACATATTATATTAAAACGTATGACCGCAGTTAATGAAAGCGCAGCTACAAAGAAGGTCACAAAAAAATGATAACACACATCCGATTAAATATTGCCAAACAATTTATTAAACTTATTAGACTAGAGTACAATAATAATATTAGACCACACAATTGTTTGTAGGCTAAGTGGATATAATACGATTGTAGTATACACATGAATATAATATAATATGTATGACGAAAAATGTAATAATAATAATAATATATATAAATTTGGATACACAATGGTCTAACCGTTATGCGTTTAAACGTAATGATATGTATTACTTAACATTATATAAAAAAAAAAAACAAATCGTACCTATACAATTAGTATACGCTAGTCGAGTGAACAACAGAAATGTTTTTTATACACATAATTTATTATAGTTATCATAAGAAGTATCGCATCAGTGTTGGGTAAAAAATATATTATCTTATAACTAATAAAAATATAACTAAACAAAATTAATCATTGATAATGCGATCGAACTTTTATTTTTTACTCATGTGGTGTGATTAATTTCACTAACTATTGAGAAACTCAATGGATATATTATTAAGTTTATCAATTTAAAATTTTTAGTGTAGGTAATATTTATAAACTCTAAACATTTATTATGTTAATCAATGAGTTTTTTCCTAACACTGATAAGTAGGTAGGTATATTATATAGGCGCAGTATGGTGCAGACAATATGCAACAATTATATAATTTATTTAAACGGTTTTTCGTTCAACGCGAATTCAATACGATCAGATCATTTGCACGGCGTTTCTTTTAAAAGGTTAATACTCATTCTCAAATCTAAAGGTTTTTGGAAACATTTTAACTATTATTTATCAATTTTTATTGTTAAATTATTTTTTTACAATATACATTTAAATTCCATATTCCAAAGCATAATATTACGTTGATATACGCTTTAATTTAAAAATGTGACAACATTTAAAAATATAATATTTTGTTTCCAAAAATGTTATGTTGAATATACTTCAAATTGTCTAAAAAAAAAAAATATATTTCCAAATAACTTTAAAACTTGTCTCTAAATAACCCAGGAAGCATTTGGGAATGATTATATGTTCCACAAAAAATTGTATGATACATTGCTAAAAAAAACTAACCTAACCTAAGTCCTAACCTACTTTGTTCATTATGATTTGTTTATTATATTACAATATAAGATCGTAACATTTCCCAAATGCAATCTGAGGAGTAAAATCTTTTAATGAATTGCCATGTGTACTTAATCATTGAATAGTTACCCGAATAGTTATCATTTGTTTCGTCATGAATAAAAAAAATATTCTGCAGCATACTGAAACATGTATTGTGTTATAGAATTTTCGATATTATTATAGTGCATTAATAGTTTATAGTTAAATTAAAATAAAAACGATACATTAATGGGTATAAATATTATTATAGACGTCTTAAACGATGAGCGTTACGTACACCATATACAGGTTAGGTGATATTTAATAATCAACTTATAATTAATATTATGTAGTGATGACAAATAAAATGATTGACAAAAATGTATTTTTCAACTAACATACAAATCAATAATAATTGCTATATAATAATAATAAATAATAATAATAATAATGCTATATATTAATATACTTTCGCACGGAATCGTCAAGGGCTTCAGATTGTTCTTAAACATAATATTATTTAATATAATACAATCATTGTTTTCCAATAGGCGTCGTAGGTTAGGTACATTATAATATTATATTACAATAACAACAACAACAACAATTACAATAATAATGATAATGATAATAATAATAATATTGCTGTATTGGGCATTGGCCGTATCGATGGTGCGGAAGTTGCCTAGTGTTCGGGCGGCGGTGTTATTTCGAAAAGCGAATCTGAAATGGAAATAATATGATATTACGCAATTGCACAATAAGACACGTACGTACTTATCAATCCACTATTATAGGTTAGATTAGGTAATTCAGTATCTTAGCTTATAGAAATATAAAAATCATAATCTTTCAGAATCTCAACTGTTGATGAAAAATTATAATGTGTAACTATTGTAAGATCATAAAGATCTAAAGATCTGTGAAAGCTCAAACTTATGAAGATTAAAAAACAACAACAACTAATTCAATTTATTTGTAGAGGTGTGCATTGTTTATTTAATTTTATAAACATATTATATAATATGGGAAAATAATAAATATTATACTGACACATTTTAAAACTTATTAAAAAGAATAATTAAATAAAACCCAACCTAACGTATCCCAAAGTATATTTGCTTTTTGATTAGTATACAATAAATAATAACTATACATGCATGATTATAATACGTATTTAATATAATACAAGAAATCGCCTCACGTTTTAATAATATATAAAGATTGCGTAATTAGAAAGAAAAAAAGTTAGCAAATCCTGAAAATCGCCTGGAAAAATGTTTAAAAACCAGATTTTGGTGTTAGTGTGTTGTATTGCACGCCGACTTAAACTTTGATAATATTACAAGAGCTAAAAAAAAACTAATTTAAATCGATCCCATCCCAGTGATGGCAAGTAGTTATTTTAGGTAAATATTATTTTTACACTGTATTTATATGCAACCTGAAACGGTATCACTGGCAAATCAAATGTCGTTCAAATTTACATCGTAGGTGAATAAAACAGTAGGTATAGAATTAATTTTTTCGTTGAATGTGGCTAACAAAGTTCAAGGAGAATTTTAATTGTATTTCAGAAGATTTAAATAACCTCAAAAACAAGTAAACTTTTAAATACGAGAAAGTTTGCATTCTTCTTTAATAATTGTCATTCATTGTCGTCCAACACAATGTGGTTGTTAGACATTATTGTTATTTAAATATTTATATCCTAACATAAAAATAAATCCTGACCCAATAACGGTACTATGATAATATGTACTGATGTATATAATACCCTTTTATCCAAAATATGAAGTCAACCAAAATGGTGCAATATTTAGAAACAATTTGAACAAATACCCACGATTTAAATAATTTTTAAAATATACAGGCCTATTTTTTAATGTTATTCAAAATATTAAAATAATTAAAACATTTAAAATGATTTACATTGGCGTAATTCATACAATGTATAGATAAGTATTTTATAATGCTATTACTGAATATCTAAATAATTTTCTTAAAAGTGTACATGTCAGTCTTGTACCTATTTTCTTATTTATGTTTTTGAATAAAAGTTGTGATTTTGAGCATGCTGATGTGGTCGACCCATTTCCCCCCTCTCCAAAGTGGAACTTGGTTTATTACTTTTAATACTTAAATATTAAAAAATAATAATTTATGGCAATTATTAACTTTAGGTATGTTTTTTTTTAAATTATAAAAAAAAGATTATAGAACATTAATGGTTAAAATTAAAATTTTAAATTTAACCTAATCTTAAACGAAAGGAGGAAAATCAATTTTTTTAAATTATTTTTTGGACCAGTATATTGAATTTGTTCCTTAGTCAGTCCTTGACGTTTTGTCAAAACTACTACACTGTGGAATAATCGTATTAAATAAAACGATACCTACTGTTTATTGCAATATATTATAATATTGTAAGTACATATAATATACGGGTGATACAGCAATTTAATATTATTTTAAAAATTGTTGAAGAGTCAACTGATATCTTGTTTTTGACTAGAACATTTAGAAAAAATCAAGTTTAAAAATATTTACCAGAAATATTTAATTTTTATACATTTTTTGCCAGTATAATTGGTAGTATGTTGTAGAATATTATAATAGATTACAGATATTTCCTTATGCAGCAACATTATTGTGCATATAAAAGCGTGAAAGATTTTTTTTTCTCTGAATATAAAATGAGTTATAACTTATAAGTACATGCATAAAGATTCGTGTTTCCAAAAAAATAATGCTTAAGATTTGTTCTAAAAAAAAAAAAAAACGAAAAAATAAACAAACACAACCACGACCAAGTGTAAGTGTGTGGATCGTTAAGTCGGGGTCGTCGCTTACCTATATAAATAATTATATGATATAATAATATACTAGAATATATTATGGCGACGAAATGATGATGTATAATATTATGTATATATTGTATATTATAATATTGTTTATTTGTTAGCGGTTCAGTGGACGCCCATGAGAGCTTGGATGTTAGGCTGTTGGATGAGACAAGTCTGACAGGAAGATGTCATCGGCGGCGTGTCGGTCAACTCCTTTTCCGTTTCACTGATGAAGCTCATTGCCGCCGGAGAGGTTAGGTTGGGTTCGCGATCGCTGTCAATCGGCTCGTACAATTCGTTACGTCCACCGCACAGAGACTCGTCCGCCGACCCGTTTGCGTCCTCGTCAATGTTCACTTGAGCGCCCACGGAACACTGAAATCGTATAACAATATTAAAAAATGTAATTAGGTATTATTAATATTATTATCATAATTAATTTCAAAAATTTTTTTTTTTTTTTGCTCAGTACTCAACATAATATTATTGTTAAAAGTATTATAGTCTGGTACCATAGAAGCATATTCGTGCCATTGATTTTTCTCGTTTTCGCATGTTTTCATTCCCCACTGCTATTAGTTTTTTCGACTAATTTTAAACGCGAGCTTTCTAACCTTATAAACAATATAAACACATATAGATAACGAATAGAAAATAATACTTTTGTTTTATGCATAATGGTTAGGTTAGGGTTATATTTACTAATCAACAACAGGTTTTATATTTTTCAACCCAAACCAGTGTTCGGCATAATAATAATATGTCGATTCTTTTTTTTTTGTTTTGAACGTCTTTAACAAAAGGTTAACAATAATATAATTCATTCCACCTATATCTCAGAGTGCTTATGTTTTTGTATTAAATTTGAATGTATTTCAATAAATATACAATAATAATATTATTATTATCGCACGGCGTCTTGGATATGCAATTTAGCTACATCACTGATTCATGGTGCGTTTCACGCTACCTATATCGTGATAATATCATCATAATTATTCCTTTTTTTGATTGACTAATATAATAGTGACCCGTGAACTAATATAGCCTGTCAATATATAATTTATATATTATTAAAATTAAAATAACTATTTACATAATATTACCTACAACATACCTATATGCTTAGTGCGATTAATCGATAATATTTTACGAATATGTACTCATGTAATAATTGATACTATATAATTGACATTTATTAAGAAACTATTATATTCTATAGATTACAATTATTCTAAAATCGAAATATACCTCCATTTTCGCTGATGAAAGATGTCTAAAAAAATTGTATTTAATTATGAAATGTATTATATTGTATATTATTATAGTCCGTTTTTCGAGAATAAAAGCCTTAAAATTGGCAAATATTAGCGTATCTGTGGGCGCCGAGGAGTGTTGAACGAGATGATGTCTCAATGTCACGGAAATTAATCGAATACCAAAGCAATAATAAAAACAAGCCGATTACAAAAGGCTGTTATATCAAAGCAAAAGGCGACGGAACAACATCAAATGGCGAAAACAATTTCGGCTGAGTGTAAACGATAGGTCTTGTGGTATGGGTAAAATGGGCAAAGGAAAGTGAATTGTGTTTGAGAAATTCCTCGACTAGGTAGGTATTAAAAAATGAAAAAAAACAACAAAAACAACAGACACAGCCCACAAGTCACAACCAACGAATACTCAAAAATCGCTCTCGGCCGATTGAAAATGTGGAAGTGAAAATAAGTACACAAGTGAAAAGTTCCCCTACTTGGAGAATAATGGTGAGTAATTTTATGATTAGTTTTAATAAAAGTTTAAAACATAATATCGCCATCATTTTTTCGAATTTTATATTGTGCAAATCGAGTTGTGTTTTTAACGGAAAATCGCGGACCTTTATATTAATGAATGTATGTGCTTGATTTTAAAATATTTTTAATATATTAGTCGTGAAAAATTGGTTCTATCACAGTACATATTGACATGATTATATTTTTAACTGTAGAGACTAACGGTATAGTAACAAGACACTTTTATAATAGCTAAGTGTGTACACCAAAAAACATCGTGATAGAAAAACTTTTTAACTAAAAACTCTTTTGATTTTCGGCGAAGGATTTCGTCTTACAAGGTTGATATATTTTTTATATGGTAGGTATGCTTTTATTTTTATTTTTTTTTGTTGTTGGATGAAGTACTTCGAAAGTTACATCAAACCCTCTATATAATGTAATGGATTGAAAATTGGACAGTGGATACGAATTGGGGTGAAAAAAATGTTTTCGTAACAACATCGCATTATTGTTATTATTTATTATAAGATAAAATTTGTTAGTTTACACTTTATATGTATTTTTATAATTAATTATGATATGTCATTTAAATCCGAATCCATAACCATGAAATTGGGATAAGTATAATTTATTATTATTTAATATTAATTAGGCATATATGGTTGTATTATTATGAATACAATTATTAATTACTAGGCCATATTTTAGAAACCTAGATGTATTGACATTTTTTTAAATAAAAGCTTAGTATTTGGAAAACCCACGATTTGTATTTTGTTGTTGTGGATGACGGTTGTTTTTTTTTTTTAATATATCATAATACCAATATTGATTAATGAAAATACTTTAAGATAATAATTTATAAATTCAATAGAACGAATGTTTTCCCATAAATAATAATAACATAAATATATATATATATAACTTTATATAATGTATAACATGATATAATATATAACGTTCGTATTTTGTTTCGACTTTCAACATATTGAAGCATCGTCGTGGGCGACACGATGGCGCCTAGTGCCTACTCCCTTATAGCTATTTGTATTCACCGTAAAGTCTCCACGTCGCGAGTGAATTAAGGAAAGGCGGTGACGTGGCCATAGGCTTTTGTTGTCACAAAGGGTGGACCGATGTTTTTACCCGTCATTCCCGTGATATAACATCGATACCACGATAACATAATAATATGATACAACACGATGTCTCAATAATAACATAATATATATTATGAGTCACATATAAATTAGTTATATTAAATAAATACGTCGACTGTTTTTTACAATTCTTACTGCTACACATTTTAATATTATTTTATTTTCGAATTGATCACCTATGATATAGTATTATGATATATTGTATTTTTACTACTGCTGTTTTATATTTATTAGGTTCAACTATGAGAGGTTTAACTACAGTTCATCGACATTCGACAACATTATAATAATTGAGTGGCGCACTGACCCAATTACACACTTTCCATCACACACACAAACACACATTTTTTTTGCTTTTTTAATGAAAGTTCGTTATTTTAGGGAACTTTCCTGTAGCTTTCATATATGATTCTCATTATCAATCTGCAGTGTGATGTGTGGACATTTCTCCTACACCCTTCTATCTTTAATAATTTATATTTTATTTAAATTCTGATTATTTGAATTTTTTAGTATATATTTGAGAAGCGTATTTTCAGTTATCTAGATTAGTTATAAGTACAACATCAGCCTAATATCTACAGTAAAAAGGTTGGTTTTCATTTGGAAAAAAAATTTTGTACCGTCACAGCCCACAGGATACTGCTTAAATAGTTAAATGGTACAACAAATGTAAGAATTTGCCAAGTTTGTGAAATTATCTAACAGCATACTCGTTCTTAGTGAATTGTATGCATCAGCTAAGAAAACATTTTTTGTGACTTATCATCGAATAGATATTTTATATAGATTAGCCCCCTCCCAAGCACACACCCAGTGGCGGCGCCAGGAATTTTATCTTGGGGGGGCCCATTGGTGGCCTTTGAAAATTTGGTAGGGCCAAAAAAGTCCCAATTCGTTGTCTTTTTCCCATTCATAGGCTCAGTATAGGGTAGGGGGCTTACACACTATCTATTGTAAAGACTGTGTTGCATATACTAAGTTTTCATATAATTATTGGTTTTCATTTTAATTAATAATAAATATCATATAGGTATAGGTATATTATTTAATATTTACACACTTAAACATTAGATAACATTTTCAACAAACTTACATAAACAATGAGTAGGTACTTTATTATAATATAGGTAATACACAAATTACATTTGTTTTTAAGTTACCTAAAACATTTATATTTAAATAAAAAAATTACACAATTTTTATTTGCCTTAGCATTTAGCAACTTACTAAATATTACAAAATCTAGTTACAACGTTACAAGCAAACATAGTAAATAGTCAAAAACATAATTATATTAAATGGTATACATATAATTCAATAATTGATATCTACTAATTAGTAATTGTTAGAAATGATGAATATAAAATGAATTCACACATTTAAACACTATATAATAATTATAATTTGTATTAAACAGAAATATAAATAAATTATGATAAATTAAAAACTATAAAACTAACTTTTATGTGCCTTGTGCCTATACTTTAATTTAGCTGCTTATAGAATAGGTAACATAATTAGGAATCATAAACATATGATAGATACTTTTTTAGTTTATTATACACTCTTGTCACTGTTTTTTTTTCATTTTATACAATTTTTATTATGATTTATATTTTATAGTACCTATTTAAGTATTACTATACATACTATAAATTATGTCAAATTAAAATAATTCGACGGTTTTGGTGCAATGATGCAAATTCATTAATAATGTCATCAATGTTTAGACTTTTGGCTTCTAATTTTTCAATGGCTATCATACTCAAATTTGACATATGAGAATCCATTAATTTATTTCTGAGATAGTTTTTTACCCGTTTAAGACAAGAAAATGTTCTTTCACATCCAGCTGAGGAAACAGGAATTGTAATAGATATTAAACAAAGTTTATGCAGTTCTGAAAACGCAATTTGATACTCATTTAGAAAATCATATAAATTATATACTCTAATTTATTATTCTAAAATAATAATTGAAATTAAAATCTCTTACTTGCTTTTTTGTGACAAAATTGAATCAGAATCATTAGTTTGTTTTTTATTTATTACTGATGCAAAAAAGTTATTTATTTTTCGTTTGGACATTATTAAGTTAAAATTTATACAACGTTTAAGATGATATCCTTTACGAGTACGTAAGTATAACGATAATCTTTGTTGTTTAACTACGAGTCTTTTAAATTGTATTATTATTGGGTTTTTCCCGTTTTTCATATTCGACATGGTATAGATAACATTAAACCGATTAAACTGTATTATGCACTGTAAAATTGTAAAATGTAAACGTAAAACGTAGACAAAAATAATAATACTCATTGTCAATAAAATATTAAATCGTTGACAAATGACATTAATGTCACAGATAGGCACGGCTCGCGTATATAATATTATATAGCCGTGCAGACGGGCATCATAACGGTCGTATAATAATA